ACAATCGCACACACGCACACAATCGCACACACATAGTCACAACAACAACAGGAAGCAAATGAACACATATACAAACGTACGAACGCAAAAACTCACGTGGCGTTTAATGGTTTTATTTTAATTTTTTTTAATAAATTTTATTCTATATGAAAATCCAGCTTGCATTTTTTCGTTAATGCATGTAAATTACAAGATGAAAATACAAAATTTATAAACACAAAATTTTATATGCACGTACACAAACTTACACACAGACAGACACACAAACAGTGCATTTATATACGTTTGTGTGTACATTCAAACAAACAAACACACATACATTCAAACAAACACACATACATTCAAACAAACACACATACATTCAAACAAACACACATACATTCAAACAAACACACATACATTCAAACAAACACACATACATTCAAACAAACACACATACATTCAAACAAACACACATACATTCAAACAAACACACATACATTCAAACAAACACACATACATTCAAACAAACATACATACATTCAAACAAACACACATACATTCAAACAACATACATACATTCAAACAAACACACATACATTCAAACAAACATACATACATTCAAACAAACACACATACATTCAAACAACACACATACATTCAAACAACACACATACATTCAAACAAACACACATACATTCAAACAAACATACATACATTCAAACAAACACACATACATTCAAACAACACACATACATTCAAACAAACATACATACATTCAAACAAACATACATACACATACCAAGACAAACACATGGACGGTTTAAAATTTTACATTTTGGCAAACACACACAAACACACACGCACACACATACACACAGACACACAGACAGACACTTCAGCAATTAGATGCGGTCGATTTGATAATAATTAATAACTGATTCAGTGAATGGTGGATGGATGGATGGATGGATGGATGGATGGATGGATGAATGGATGGATGGATGGATGGATGCTGGGGAAAATTAATAAGACGATATTTGTCATTGTGAAATAAAAAACAATCACAATAACAACAATTAAACAATTTAAATTTATTATTACGATTAATTTGAAAAAATATATAAATGTAAAGTGAAAAACGCTGTAATCATATGAGTGGATGAACAAAAAATCAGGTGGCCAAATAAAGACGATTAATTTTATAGGTGATAAATGTTATGTTGGTATTGTGTGTGTGTGTGTTTGTGTTTGTTTGAGTGTGTGTGTGCGTGTGTGTGCGTGCATTTGTTTGTTGTCACATGCATGTGATAGTATGTGCGGATGTGTCTGTATATGTATGCGTGGATGTGTCTGTATATGTATGCGTGTGTTTACATGTGCACATATGTTTTAATTCATTCACTAATTCATTCATTCACTCAATCATACTTCTTCATTCATTCATACACTCAATCATACTTTTCTCTCTTTCATTCACTCAATCATACTTATTTATTCATTCACTCAATCATACTTCTTCATTCATTCATTCACTCAATCATATTTTTTCATTCATTCTCTCACTCAATCATACTTTTTCATTCATTCATTCATTCATTCATTCATTCATTCATTCATTCATTCATTCATTCATTCATTCATTCATTCATTCATTCATTCATTCATTCATTCATTCATTCATTCATTCATTCATTCATTCATTCATTCATTCATTCATTCATTCATTCATTCATTCATTCATTCATTCATTCATTCATTCATTCATTCATTCATTCATTCATTCATTCATTCATTCATTCATTCATTCATTCATTCATTCATTCATTCATTCATTCATTCATTCATTCATTCATTCATTCATTCATTCATTCATTCATTCATTCATTCATTCATTCATTCATTCATTCATTCATTCATTCATTCATTCATTCATTCATTCATTCATTCATTCATTCATTCATTCATTCATTCATTCATTCATTCATTCATTCATTCATTCATTCATTCATGCATTTGCTCAATCATTTCTTCATTCACTCATTTATTCATTCATTCAGTCATTCATTCATTCACTCAATCATACTTTTTCATTCATTCATTCATTCATGCATTTGCTCAATCATTTCTTCATTCACTCATTCATTTGCAAAGTCAACCCCGCCGAGTCCACACACACCTGATTGTCATGCACGAACCAACGCCCCCTTCCCCCCTCCCCCCTTCCCTTCCATCACAAACATCACCCCATCCCAATTAGCTTCATTACAACGAACGAGATTTCACAACTCACTACTCCGCTATAACGAACTGAATCCAATACATTTAGTGCACCACTACACGCACCTCATTGGTCCGTTTTAAATAAGTAAGCCACGCCTACTTTTGCATTAGCCAATAGTAGTTACGGATGAAGTTTGGAAGGATGATGTGATGATGCTGGTTTTCATGATTGGGATGTTGAAATGACGTTTAAAATCTGGTGGAGCGTGTTTCTGAGAGCCGATCATATCGTGATTCTTTGTGCGTTGAAGAGAATTTTTTTTTAAATTTATTTTATTCTCCAACCAGAAAACCAGTTGCACAATTTGGATGTGAATGAATGATGAAGTGAGATGGTTTTATGATATGATACATCGTAGTATCATGATATAATACAAGTTAGTTTCATGGTATAATACAGCATAGTATCTTCATGTAATGCATCGAAGTATCATGATATAATACAAGTTAGTTTAATGATATAATACAACGTAGTATCTTCATGTAATACATCGAAGTATCATGATATAATACAATTTAGTTTTATGATATAATACAACGTAGCATCATCATAAAATGATACAACAGCAGTTTTGAACTAACTCTCAAATTAAATCATACATTGACTGTAAAAAATCGCAAGCTCAATCAAATACCGGATTACTGAAATCAAACAAAAATCATGTTTACAAGCACAAGTAGTTTGTTGACGCTCACAGCCAAAACATCAACAACAACAGCAGCAGCTACAACAACAGCAACATCACATTACACTGCAAAATCAGCAGCAGTTACATCAACAACAACTACTACTTCTACGACGAAAATGATCAACAAAATTTCATCTTTCAGTATAAAATCGGTGCTTGAGAATATTGTGGAAAGTAACAACAACTATAACAACAACACTAATAACAACAACAACTACAACAATCACAACTACAACAACTATAACAATTACAACAATAACAACTATAACAACAACAACAGCAACAACAACAACAACAAAAATGACATCAACAACATCATTGCCTATTCAACTAATGATAACAACCGTCAAAGTTACTATCAACAAAACAACGAATACAACAACAACAACAACAAGTGTGATAAATATAACGACAATGATGACGACGATTATGACGACGATGATGATGATAATGAAGATGATTATGTGATAAATGATGAAAATAGAAACAAACACAACAACAACAACGACAACAACAGCAACGACAACAACAACAACGACAACAACAACAACGACAACAACAACAACAACAACAACAGCAAAACTCTCCAACTTAATTATAATACGAGGCCGCATCACATTTCCGAAGATGATGAAATTTGTGGTGATGATGAGAATATTGACGTGAATAATAATGATGACGTCATCGACGACGATGATGATGATGGTAGTGGTGATGATGATGATGATGATAATGGGGGAGAGGTTGTTAAGAGTGGTAATGGTTGCTGTAAAGCCGGTGAGCATGTAGGGGATGAAGATGAGGAAGATGATGATAATGAAAATGATGAAGGTGATGATAAGGGTTAGTCTCACTGAGTTGTTGAAACGAATTATTGTTGTTATTACTATTAAAATAATTATTATTTTATTATTGTTATTGTTATTATTATTGTTATTATTATTGCCATTTCCATTTGGTTGATATTGAAGTTATGACGGGCTAGTCCAGACGGCAGGAGCGCCAGAAAACGAGTTGTTGTTTTGTGGACTGATGGGGTTCGATCGCTCTCTAAAACTTGGAGACAACTTTATGTGTGCTTGTGCGTGCGTGAATGTGCGCGTGCGTGTGTGTTTGTGTATGTGTTGCTCATGAGCACAGTAATGTGCTGTTGTGGTTCTCGGTGATTAGTTAATGTTTCTTGAGCTGCTCTTCATTGAAACAACTTTTTCATTGCTAACTTCAAATTTATCTGAATGTCTCACACACACACAAGTACCTGATGAATGTGACGTAAGAAGTTTTGTTGATGTATCTCAAATAGGATCTTTCTTTATATGAAGTCTGTAAGAATGAAAACATCATATCGGGAGATACTTTTTTCTAGAACTCCTGTTAAGAATTAAAACTGTTGACAGTTAAATGCTAATTTGCAACGTGGCCAGCAGACAGTCGTCTGTACAAAATTCGCTGCCACTAACACACTTGATGTGTCAAATGTGCCTGCGTGCGTGCAATGAATGTATGTGCATGTGGTGTGTGTGGTGTGGGGTGGTGTGTGTGGTGTGGATGTACACACTTTTCCGCACATCAGTAATTTCAACTAATTTAAATTTAATCGAACTATGAATTTATGGATTACTTTTTTGAATGTTGGGGGTTCCGCTTAGTTAAGATTTACTCTTTTGGAATGCCTCGTCATGTAACAAATTTATTGTTTGTTCACAATAAACGATTTATAAAAGCAATTTGTATGTACATCTGCATTTGTTAGATGTGCACAGCAGAGAACCAGTGTTGTTTTAAAACAGCTGAAAAAAAAAATTGTTCTCGAATTCATCGTAAATGAGTTGGGTTAAATTTCACAGTGTGAGCTATCGTCATATGAGCCACCTATCAATCTGTTGACCGTTGTTCTAATTTTAACTCTTTCTACATCGCTTTAATTTTCATGTTTCGTGAAACTCACAAACTGTGAAATCAATCCCAAAAATAACATTTGCTATAAAACTGTTACTCAAGAATTTGCTCTGTAATCAAATGCAACTGACCGATAATTATATTTCTTTCATGTACACATCAAATAAACGCCCACCATTCAAAACAGCAAGGAGGAGCGTGCCGACACATTGCAAAGGCTCGCCAGTGCCCTGCGACAAAAACCACGACACGTACAACAGTTTCAGAAAGAGCGGTCCTAACAACAGCCACAACAACGACAGCCACAACAGAAATAACGACGACGACAACAACAATTTCAACCACAAAACCAGCAACAACATCCGAAACCACGTCAGCAGCCATGAAGACAGTGAATTTAAAAAAATTCGCCAAGACAACGACGCCGATAACAACAAATACACAAACAACGCCAACGTCAACAACAAAAACAACAAAAACAACAACCCAGCCAAATCAACAACAACAGCAACAAAAGCCGACAAACCACCGTACAGCTACAACGCCATGATCATGATGGCGATCCGTAGCAGTCCAACTGAACGCCTGACGCTGAATGGCATCTACGAGTTCATCATGAAGCACTTTCCGTACTACAGGGAGAACAAGCAGGGCTGGCAGAACTCGATCAGGCACAACCTCAGTCTGAACAAGTGCTTCGTCAAGGTAATGTCGATGTTGGAAGGTTTGTGTGAGAATGTGGGCGTGTATGTATGTGTGTGCGTGTGTGTGTGCGTGTGTGTGTGTGTATGTGTGTGTTTATGTGTGCGTGCGTGTGTGTGTGTGCGTGTGTATGTGTGTGTGTGTGTGTCAATTGTATTTTAGCTAATGCCTGCGTTATTAGTGATCTTTGCAGTTTGGCTGATGCAGTTCTGTTGGCGTTATTTGTCTTATTCAAATATAAAATCTGATTTATATTAAACGCCAAAATAAACCAAACAAAAGTTTTAGCGGTTTTATAAGAAAAAGCTTACAGAGCAATAAATATAGCACTAAATACCAAAAAATAATAAAAATTTTCAACAAAAGTCAACAGGGTAAAGAGCATGAAGTAAATGAAACCAAATAAAAAAAAAAAAAAAAAAAACAAATATTTACACGCAACAACAATATCACCAACATCAACATCACCAACAACAACATCACCAACATCAACATCACCAACAACAACATCACCAACAACAACATCACCAACAACAACATCACCAACAACAACATCACCAACAACAACATCACCAACAACAACATCACCAACAACAACATCACCAACAACAACATCAGTAGCTGCAAACGGCAACCACTATTAGCAAACGCGTGTTTAGATTAGTTGAAACATTAATGACGTGTGATTTGATGGCAATTGAATAGAGGAGTGGTGTGTTATAGTGGTAACTAGATACTATTGAATGTAGTTTCTCTGTGCTGTGTAGTTTTGAATAATGTTTGATTGTTTGCTTGTTTGTTTGTTTATTTGTTTGTTTGTTTGTTTGTTTGTTTGTTTGTTTGTTTGTTTGTTTGTTTGTTTGTTTGCTTGCTTGCTTGTTTGTTTGTTTGTTTGTTTGCTTGTTTGTCTGTTTGTCTGTTTATTTGTTACATTTTTGCAAAATAACTTTTCTATTTAAACCGATTAAATTCAGAAATCAAGCAGAGTTTTTTTTTTGGAAATATCAATTTAATTATATACTCGGCTTAATAAGTGCTATTTCAAACGATCAAAAATTACCATTGTTGGTTTACGTTAAGTAAAAGCGAAAGTACATTTGAAATAGCATTAAAACTGCTGATGATGCATGCATGTTTGTCACATGACTTTTAAACAAACGAACAAATGAACATCAAACAAATAAACAAACATAAAACAAACATAAAAACAAACAAACAGACAAAAAACCAATCAAACAAACAACGAACGAACATCAAACAAACAAACATACAAACAAACATACAAACATACAAACAAACAAACAAAACAAACAGACAAACAAAAATCTAACCAACCAAACAAACGAACAAACAAACAGGTACCGCGACACTACGATGACCCAGGCAAGGGCAACTACTGGATGTTGGACGCGGCAGCCGACGACGTCTTCATCGGGGGTTCCACGGGCAAGTTGAGGAGGAAGAGTTCGTGTGGCAGTGCAGCCGCGGTGAGGAGCAGGCTGGCCGTGGTGAGGAGGGCAGCGGTCCTGGCCCAGCACCACCGGTACATGCCCCAGGTTCGACCGCAGTACAGCGCTCACCCTCAACGACACCAGCACCTACTTCAGCAGGTCTACTTCAACCAACACCACCACCAGCAACATCAACACCAGTGGTTGAGCCACTACCACCAGCATGTCATGTACAACAATCTGATGCGGAAACATCAGCTGCAGCGTTTTCAGGACGTCACAGATGACCTGAATGTGAAAAAGTACAACTACAGCATCAAATACAACAACAACAAAAACAATCTTTTAAATCACAACATCAACAGCCCAGCATATTCAAACCTGCAACAACTTCCATTAGTATTCACAAGAGGGAATCTTCCGACCTATTTAAACAACCCTGGCAACGTTAATAGCACGAGCAACATCAACAGCTTAAATATCAACAATAACGTTAATATCAACAACAACAACAACAACATCAGCAACATCAACAACAACAGTAACAACAGTAACAACAACAACAACAGCGTCAACTACAACTGCCACAACAACTATAACGACCACTTTATTCAGAAAAAGAAGCCAAACATTGACCACAGCATCAGTAACATGGTCACTCCCATCAAATCCCATCAGGACGACCGCTTCTCCACACAGACACCCAACTCCTCAGACAGTTCCTCCATCTTCTCACCCATCCAGACAAAAAACTTCATCCAAAATGAGATCAACCAGCAAACTCACAATGACTCTCTCACCTCTCGGCAAATAAAGAATGAAATCAGCGATGCAGAAAATGCTTATAATGATGTTAATGATGATGTACGGCATGGCGTCCATTATGAAGTGCCGCATGATGTCCCTCGAGAGATTCCGCGAGAGTTCTCGCGAGAAGTTTCGCGTTCTAAAAGAGATGATGAAGTCAACTTCGGGTTCAGTCCAGCAAAGAACCGGCAGGACGCCGCAGAGACTTTTGAAAAAGATTTCAAAAAAATGAAACGTTTCGATTTCAGTGTTGAAGGCATTTTAGGAAATGCATAATTATTCATTTTCTAGATTTGAAACATTTTTACAAAATTAAGTATATTTTGTTCATCCATTACAACTAAACTTTGAATTTTTTCTTTCTAGAGAACAAATGTAAATATTTGAAAACTTGTTTAATGGCGTAGAAGCAATTTTTTTTACATGCAAATAAAAGGGCAATGAATGAGATCTGTTTAGTCTGACGAAAAGAATAAAACCCTCGTGATACATGGCTGCAGATCGTAACAATTTGTTTATCCTGACATTCGTTTATGTGCAAACTTCAACCGATTGAAGGATCTGACGCTGAAGCAGAAGCAAACGCATGCATATCAACACAACACAAACTAACGTAAACAAGTGACAAGCAAGGATAATATATACACAAATACACAGACGTGCAGACAATTTATTGATGCTAATGAAATAAAACTTTAAAAGTTTTGGAAAAGTTTTATCATCACGATAAATATATAACTATATCACTATATCATGATATCACTAACATCGCTTAGTATCTAAGTTGAAATAATATTAATAATATTAATCATCATCTTCATCATCGTCGTCGTCATCAACGTTTTTTTGCTATAAATTTTCGCGTTTGATATACATCCAATCCAGCCAGCCTACTTCGAAACATCAACAACACACACGGAAATAGGACTTGCAAACTTTTGAACGAAAAATCATTTAGTGTTTGAATACATGGCATTGTTTATGTAAGGAACTTACAATATTTTTTTATACTACATCAAATAACAAACAAAACAAGGCAATTATGAAAAATAAATTAAGAAAATAACAATTTTTGACAGAAATATAAACTCAGAAAATTGTAAAAATTGTTCATTCTTATTAAAATAATGTAGAAATTGATGAAAATATTCACAAATAACAAGACAAGTTGTTATAAACAGCAGTGAAAGCCATTGAAACAGAGTTGGCAGGAGATGGGTAATTAATAACGAAAGAGAGAAAGAGAGAGAGAGAGAGAGAGAGAGGGAGAGAGAGGATGTTGTTTATTTAACAAACTGCATCCATACAACCAACCGTTCAACTGATATTTATTAACTCAAATCTATGCTATGTTATCTGTTCTCTTCCCATTAGATATCAATATGAATATGAAATCCATATCCACGAACACACGCACACACACACGCACACACGCACACACACAAGGACTGATCCAGACAACTTAGTTGGGCGGTACTAAAAAAATTTGGAGAAAAGTGCTTAATGTTTCTTTGGGGGCCCATGGTCCCTAAATCCGCCACTGCACACACACACACACACACACACACACACACACACACACACACACACACACTCTCTCTCTCTCTCTCTCTCTCTCTCACACACACACACAAACACTTACACACTCATACACACACACACACACAAAGCAAACACACGAACATAGATTTATTTATATAAATATATATAAGAATCGTAGAAATATTATAAGATTCCACATAAGATTGAATAAACCAGCAAATAAATAAAACTTCTCAAATGTTTTTAAAAGAAATTTACATGCCAGTAGCAACGGTTTCAAGAATTGTAATATAACAATTGGAATACTAGATGTAAAAACAATTGATCACCCTTGTTTCCTGTGAGCGTTAGTTCTCTCTCCTTCTATGGATAAATAAACAACATACCCCTCATACGTGCCTTCTTAGGTCATGTATGTAATTGAAGAATAACATCATTATACCTTGCGTAACAGCGGTGAGTGTGCGTGCGTCTTGAAACAGCAATAGGTTGGTGAGTTGCTAGCAGGGATTCGCAAATAATTCAATGTAAGAGATTTTTTGTGACAATTTGTCTGCGTATTTTGGTTACGGGTTTTATTAAATGATGAAATTTTAACATTTTCTACACACACGTTTATAATAACCATTGTAGTTGTTAAAAAACCAGATTTGTTTGTGTGAATTGAAACCAATTTATTGATTCAATGGGGCAGTTCTTGTGAGGATTCAAATACACGGTTTGTACATCCTAGCTACAGATTTTCAACAATTGAAAAACTACATCGACAGACGCTGGTTTCAAATGTGCGAGCCTCTTTGGCATGTTTCCCTGCGATCAAACCATGTCTGACAGCATGTTCTGAAGCATGAACGCTCTAGATGCTACTTAAGAAGAAAATTTATAAGAAGGCAGTTGTGGAATACTAACAATAAAATTTCAAAACAAAAAAAAAACACACCAGCACAACAACAACAGCACAACAAACCGCAGATATCAGAACATTATTATCATCAGCACTAAAAAATCATCCCAGCACAACAACACAACAACACATCGGCACAACAACAACACAACAACAATACAACAACGCTACAACAACACTACAACAACACTACAAACAACACAACAACAGCACAACTAAAGAACCGGGTATCACACAACATCAATTGTCCGTTGATTTGTTTATGTAGTCACATGTCCCATTGTATATGTTTGCAAAATGTTTAGAGCTTCTATATATTGTTATTTACATAGGCGCTAATAAATTGTAAAGAAATGAACATTTGAAATGTTTTATACATAATAAATAGTATGTAAATTTCATGAAATGAGAGTAAAATATTATTATTAATCTCATAATGAAATTTGTGTAAATGAAAATTTTTACCAAGTCTTACTAATAACATTTAACTATAAAGTTAGTATACTTATTGAATTTAATAAATAACACAAGCAAACACGCACACGCATACACACACGCACACATGCACGCACGCACGCAAACAAATCACACACATTAACTCAAGTGTTCATAAAGTTTTCATCGTAAATATATACAAACGTATTTGTGTATAGAAAAAGTGTACACTGCTGGTATTTAATGATGGCAGTTGTGAGGTCTCGATGGACCTGCTGACAAATACAAGACACGAGTTCTTCAATACAAACATGCACAAACATTTACAAACATATACAAATATGAACAAACACACAAAACCACGTACAAACATGTACAAACATGTACACAAATATGTACAGAGATATACAAATATGTACAAACATACAAATTTGATCAGGTACACACGAAAACAAGCATACACACAAAACCACATAAATATGCCATACAAATTGTTAAAAGAAACATCAAATATTCTACCATTCTAATAAAAGTTTAACAATAAGGTGTGATTAATATTGACGCCACCATATAAATTTAGTTGAATCTGCCCCAAATAAACGTTAAGTCACCAATGGGAACACAATCAACTGATTTCAATTGGATTTTGGAAGCTCGTCTGCTCGTTAGCCAGTTAGTTAATTAAAAGAAGTCAGAATTGCCAAAAATGCTTTTAACAATTTGTTATAATTCGTGAACTGAACATTTATTTTGTATGCGTTGTAATGACGTTTCTGTGTGTTGTTGAGATTTTGTTGTTAAAAAACTTTTCAAACCCTCTAGGTGAATTAATTTAATTGGTATCTGTCAGTAATCTCCATCCATTTGGATAAGAAATTCTAGCAACACACATCCTACAAACTGCATCGTCCGAAAGCATTTTCCAATTCCAAGGATGTTCTGAACATTTTACGATATGAACTCAATTTTTCAGCCTCAATCAATACGTTGTTTGTGGCTCGTATTTCACATTGACTGGAGCGTTGAATAGAAATAATCTAAATAGAAATTTGTGCCTACAGAAAGTGAAATAGAAACAAGCATTAAAAACCGTTTGATTTGTTACGCTTTGGAGAATTTGTGGAATATCCCATGTGGTGAACGAACCAACGGTTGTTTATTAACGGAATTAAATTAAAAATGACATTCAAACCATTTTCAAAAACATTCGGGCTGGTTTGGTTTGATCTAAAGTTTGGTTTGAATTCACGAAATTTTGTGACGATAAAAAGTGACTATGAAGTGGCAATGGAAGTGGAATGTTTTTATAAAATAAAAGAAACATTTACACTTTAAGTTTACATTGACAATAAATGAATGGTCGGTGATAATTACAAACTTTTAATTTCTAAATTTAAAAATACCATCAACGAACTACAAATTAAAAAAAAGGTAGTTTGAGTGACATATTGCGGGTCTGGTAAGCAACAAACCCGCGATTTGGACTAATGGACGTCATCCCATCCAGTGTTTCTCAGTTCAGACCAGCCAAGCAGCCACTCATGTTTGTACTGCACATTGAAAATGATAGGATGGTAGGAAAAGCCAACAACGTCCTAACAACGGGTCCCATCCTCAAAATTGAAATGCATCACAATCGGCGAAGAACAGCGTATCATATATTTGCCAGGTTCATGCCATGCAATGTTAGCCATTAACAGGTATAATAAGCAAAACCAGCTCTTGCAGTAAACCATGTAGTTCAGGGTCAACTTTATTTCTCTTTGAAAGAAGCTGCTGCTAAATTTCCAATACCGCAATCTCACTTTCGTTCAGCCGGGAAACGACATTTCATTCGAAGCATCCAGTTGTCTCGGTTCGTTTGGATCCCGTTCGTTCTCCACCTCTGAATTAAACCAAGATATAATTTTGATATGAGCACAGGCATTAAGTTAAAACATGTTTCAGGTTTGAAAAGTGGAAACCAAATGTTTTTGATCTCTTAAAAAAGTACGAGGTCACAGATGCAATAACATGATTTGCGCAACAACAATTTTCACGATGAACTTGTAGAAAGCGGTTATTTAACCTATTTCTTAAAAAAATAGATAACATTTTATTGAAAAATGAAACAGTTAAACAATTAAAACTAATTCATTTATATATACTAAACGTAATAATATCATTATATAAATAAAAAATTCACACCATGAATAAATAAAATTTTTCAGAACACAACATCAAAATAACTCTAAAGCGCTGCATTTATTTTATTACTTAACATCATTATTTATTTCTATGATAATTGCGCGCTCATTGTTGTTGATGTTGAAAGATAATAACGGAAATCACTCATCATGTACACACACGCACACAAAAGTCATTATAATGTATATGCACATACATATACATACACATAGACGTGCAAACACGTAAGCTGTAAAACAAACACATTCACGCATACTTACTGGAAGGCAAACATATATGTTGATTTTGAAACATGCACATATACAGTAGCATAACATGCAAACATACATGTGCAAATAAATGCACACACTTGCACGTGCACAAACACACACATCTATATAGGTGTCGTGTTGTTATTGAATGCAATGATGACTGCAATCAAACAATCATCCAATGTAATCGTTTATAAACATGTTGACAGCAGTACCATCACACATTTCAAAACACATCCCTTTTTTATGCTTTGCTTGTGTTTTCCAGATTGTTAACAACGAACCTTCAAAATGCCTTCTCTATTTGATTATTATGCATTCTTCATATCAACGGTTTTGACAGAGCTTTCAAAAAATATTTTACAATTTACATGTGAAACTGAAGCAAAAACCTGAACAGATTTAACGAAGTGAAATATATGTCATCAGTTATTAGAAAATTCGCTGCCTACACCTAAAGCATTTTTACGTAAGTAAAACTAATTTTAACGAATTTAACTAAAAATTTCAATTATACTTTTGGTAAAGTCGATAAAAATTGAGCAAGAAAATAGTTGCGTATCGAGATTTGTGAAGGATGCTTGCAAGTGCAACCTTTCCAAGCTCCATCCAACAACACAGCCAGAACCTGCCATGAAGGCTTAACTGGAATGAACCAAAGGACATCATTTATTTGTTTTGAGAATTGATAAATAAGAAACGATTAAATCTTTCATGTGAATAAATCAAAAAAATTTTCAAAATTTTGTTTAATGAAAAAATTTGAAACGAGGGCAAGTAAAATTAATGAAATATATATTTCCGAGTGAGAAGCGTCATAAGATAAACATCTCTAGGCCTCTCGCTAACTAGCGAATAAAATGTGAGAATATTGTAGCCAAGTTGTGAAACAATCACCAAGGAGTAAAATATCATTATTAACGTTGGAAATCAAACACAGACAACATCATACTCATCCTCTCTACATCACCATTACGCAGGTCATTTCATTAAACATTCATCAAAATCATTCACTCAAGTAAACCACAAATTCCCAGAGCATCATCAACCTAATTGTCAACCTTTGATTGTCTTCAGTTTATATTCTAAATCAAAATTATGAAAAAAATTGTCGGCGTCCAAGTTAAAAAAGATATGCTGTTTCTAACCTGAAAAGCTGACCAACCAAATTTCACCGACCCAACTGTACCTCTCTATGTCTCTATCTTTCTCAACGATCTGAGGCCTCATCCAATTTCAATCCTTCGCTCGGAAGATTCTTAACACAATGAACGACTCAGAAATTCTTCAGTCCCCAGGTAAATTATTACAATTCCATCAAAACACTACCGTCGCCTGCATTTGTTATGATGAATAAAAACCCTGCCATACCTATATATTTTACATGTAAGTAGGTCGCCAAATTTAGAAATAAATTCTGAAAATGAAATACATCCCGTTTATGTGTTACACATACGTATACACATGAAATAAATAAAAATAAATAAACCTATAAGCTCAAAATTATAATCAAAATTAAAATAAAAGATAGTTAAAAGTAGACTAAATTAGACTATACCAAAGAGGAAACAAAAAAAAAACTTATTTCCAATTAAAATGAAATAATAAATCAATTATCCCTATAATTAATATTTAATTAAAATAATAAAAACGTTTACATACATACAAATCCACCCTGGTTTCATTAATTAAATAATAAGATAATTGAAATTAATAAAAATTAATCAATTACAATGAATGAATGAATGATAAGAAATGCACTGATTTCTTAATGATATGAATCATGTAAGCGTTATTATTATTTATTTACCTATAGTTTATAAGTTCATCATCTTGATAGCCATATATGGGGACAGTACTTACGAAACATATTTACAACGCTAGTCAGAATTAACAAACATCGCATCTACTGGATGAATAAAAAAAAAACTTAAATTTACGAACGAACTTAACAAGCATCATAACTAAGAGTCAAAAAACAGACAAACATCACAAACAGGACAAACATTACAAACAGACAAACGAACAAACATTACAAACAGACAAACGTTACAAACAGACAAACATTACAAAAAATACAAAAAAAAATCAGTAGATCAATCGTACATTCAATCGGTCCATCAATCAATCAGTAAATAGCAATAACAAATAATAAATGAACACGTATAATAAATGAAACTTATCAAATAACATAATATACATATATATATATATATATATATATATATATTTTACAATATTCTATAAATTGTACCTAATGTTTGGCGTTAATATGTTTGTAGTTCGTTTTTTCGATTTTTCTCACTAAAGTTTTTTGGTGAACGTTTAGTTTATTAAAATTCAAAATAAACTTATTTTTCGAATTCATGCTGCAAATAAGGCCATATTTCGATTCCGAATGAATCATCATCAGTGCTCCTTGCTGTATATATAGGGAAATATTGACTTTGTCAAGATGAACTTTGACGTTGTAAAAATTAACTTTGGTGTTGTAAAATTGAACTTTGATGCGAATTAGGTGTCAGGTTTCTTTATTGGTCTTCTTTGGTCTCCTTTTCTTCATCGATAGCATCATATTCTTCTTTGTCACTATTTACGATGCTAGTTTTTATTACTTCTTTGTTTTCGTTGTTGGTTAAGCGCCGGGTTGGAGTGAGGTTGTCATTTTTTGTTGTATATTTATTTTTGGTTTATTGATGTCAATTAGGACCGCTTCTGCAATTTTAAGATGCGTGTAGTTGCTGTTCTGGTATATTACTTTGGTGTTGCTGTGTTGCTGTCGAGGATTTCACGGCTAATTGTGATTGAGTGTGTTGAGTCCAAATGAGATTTGATAGCACCATTCTGTTTATGCATCGTAAGCCTTCTTTCAATAGAGTAAGTCTTATATCCATTGTTTACAAGCAGGTTAGTGACTCTTTTTAATTCAGCGTCGCGATTTTCAATATCGGAAGAGTGTGTGAATGCCCGGTTCACAAATGATTTTAAATTTAAATTGTCTTTAAATTGTTCGGTGCATTCACTTTGTCCATTCAAACAAATTCCTGTGTTCGATTCTTTGACATAGACCGCGGTTTTGAATCGTTCTCCGCCACGGGTGACCAACACATTGAGGAAAGGTAAACGTTGTTCCTTTTCAATTTCAATGGTAAATCTAAGTTTTGATTTGTTTAAGGTACCAAGAAGTTGGGTGATTGTTTAAGGTACCAAGAAGTTGGGTGATTTGTTCAGGATCGTTATAGGAGACAAAGATATCATCCACGTATCTGGCGTAGATATTTGGTTTTAAATTTGCATTGTTTTTGAATGTTTCATTCTCCAGCTGTCCTAGGTAAAAACTGGCAAATAGGACGCCAAGGGGGAACCCATAGCGACACCATTGATTTGCTTGTAAAGTTTGCCTGTGGGGCTGTGGAATGGTGCTTCAGTAGTGCAAATTTGTAGAAGGGACTTCAGTTGTGCTTTCGGTATGTTCACTGGAACCATATCTGAGTGGTAAACGGTGTTGATAATTATATCAATTGTATCATGAATTGGTACATTTGTGAATAATGATTCAACATCCAGAGAGGCAATAAATTTGGATAGTTTATTAATGCTGAGAAGATTAATAAACTCACGGGAAGATTGTAATGTGTAATTGTTTGGAATATATGGGGTTAAAATTTTGTTCATGAATTTTGCAACAGGGTAGGTGACAGTTGTAATTTGGCTAATAATTGGTCGAATGGGATGATTATTTTTATGCGTTTTTATATTTCCATATAAGTAGCCAGGAGAGTATTCGCCTATAAGTGATGGAAGTTTGTCATCGGTGATGTGCTTTCTTATCTTCTTAATTATTGTGTTTAGTTTAGTTTTTAGTTGAGGAGTGGGACCTTTTTAGATTACTTGGAACTTTTTTGTAACATTGAGTTTTTCATGGTAATCGGCTCGGTCGATAACGACATATTGTGCAGATTTATCTGCACGTCTTATTACGATATCTTTATTCTCCCTAAGTTGCTTCGCCGCATCCTTCATCTCGTCAGTGAGTAGCTTACTTTGAAAACTACCTCGTTTCTTGGCTTCAGCTTGAAGCTCAATGGCAACAGAGGGGTTGACGCTTAATTTACTTTGACGTTCAGCGTCGCTTATAGACATCATTAGCTTTTCTATCTCAATGATTTTCTCAATTTTGTTAGGTTTTTTCAGATAATGGCAATTCAATCCCAGGTTTAAGAACGCTTTTTGCTTGTCTGTAAGGATGTGGTGGCTAAGATTGATGAATCTATCTTTCATAATATTGTTATTTCCTTTGGTTATCAGGTTGGTCAGTTTTTTATGAAGTTTTAGTTTTGATGATTGCATATATGCATTTATAAATTCTTTCCGGCATAAGTTTAGTTCATTCTTGACAATGCAATCAACATCACAGTGATCCCATTGATTCAACAATTCAGTTAGTTGATTTGACAAGTCTTGAACTACCTTCTTCTTAACTTCTAATTATCGAGAGAGATGAAGCAGTCGCTGCTCGCGATCTTGTTCAATTGTTAGATTACGTCGGTTGGTCGCAGAACTTCGAGTAAATGTTGGTAATAGACCATAATTTTTACAATATTCTATAAATTCTACCGAATGTTTGGCGTTAATATGTTTGTAGTTCGTTTTTTCGATTTTTCTCACTAAAGTTTTTTGGTGAACGTTTAGTTTATTAAAATTCAAAATAAACTTATTTTTCGAATTCATGCTGCAAATAAGGCCATATTTCGATTCCAAATTACGATGCATAAACAGAGTGGTGCTATCAAATCTCATTTGGACTCAACACTCATTCACAATTAGCCGTGAAATCCTCGATAGCAACACCAAAGTAATATACCAGAACAGCGACTAAACGCATCTTAAAATTGCAGAAGCAGTATTAATTGACATCAATAAACCAAAAATAAATATACAACAAAAAATGACAACCTCACTTCCAACCCGGCGCTTAACCAACAACGAAGTAATAAATATTAGCATCGTAAATAGTGACAAAGAAGAACATGATGCTATCGATGAAGAAAAGAAGACCAAAGAAGACCAATAAAGAAACCTGACACCTAATTCGCATCAAAGTTCAATTTTACAACACCAAAGTTAATTTTTACAACGTCAAAGTTCATCTTGACAAAGTCAATATTTCCCTATATATACAGCAAGGAGCACTGATGATGATTCATTCGGAATCGAAATATGGCCTTATTTGCAGCATGAATTCGAAAAATAAGTTTATTTTGAATTTTAATAAACTAAACGTTCACCAAAAAACTTTAGTGAGAAAAATCGAAAAAACGAACTACAAACATAT